ATTCTTTTTAACTCTAAACGATGTTTTTATTTCCCTCTGTCAACACATTAATCAGTGTATCCGGTGAGTGTCAAAATCTCCAAGCGTTTTTTTTCCTTATGCCTTCTATAAACTAAAGGACGCATAAGGAAATTATCTTTCTGATTCTAAGTCATAGTGACCAATCAGTTAGCATATTCTTAAAACGTCGTTATTGATTATATTCTCAGGCCATATTATTCTCATTTTTCTGCAGAACGAACTTTCTTTTACTTCGTCTTTCTACATCATCTGCGAGAAAGTTGTCCGGCATCCCCTCCCAAAAGTGGACTAACATCCCATAATATACAATTCATTCTTTGTTTCTAATGAAAATGTTCAGTTTATTTATAACTGTTTTCTATTTTGGAAGGAATCTTTCGGTGTCAGTGTTACATATGCCATCTTGTGTTAACACTAAGCAGATATTTAGATTTATGTACTTGCTTCATTGTTACTTCTGCAATTCACAGCTCGCATCTTGGGCGGTTCACGTTGCTGCTAACCATATATCTTCTTAATGTTTCACCACAAATAAGTATATAATGCCGCTATGATATGTCGCTAGGATATAGAGGAGGATACAGGGAGTGAAAGAGAATAAGATCCTAATGAGGAAAGGAAAATAAAGGAACAAGTTTCATGAAGACGGAAGATGGCGATTGAGGTTGTATTTAATATATTTTTTTTTTTTTTTAAGATTGCAGTTAGCAGGAAACCAAAAGGATTCCCAAAGTTGAGTGCAAGAAAAGAAACTCTCCATATGAGGTATCATGATTAATTGCGTTATTTACATTATTCGGACAGTTATTCTCATTGTTATATTCACCAGAGAATTTTGAACTGGACTCATTATTTCGTCCACCGGGTTCGATTGTTCTAGTTCCACGTGGCCTGCCTCTTCCAGATGTTTTAGATCAACGTCTTTATCCACCAGTTGAAACTAGGAGAGTTGAGTTAAAGGGAAATAACTGAGTCATCCATGAAGATTCATGGCAAGTGGAACATGACAATCTGTGCCTTTGGATGAAATAAAGAGTTCGAATCGAAATTCTAATCACCGGAATAACGCCGGCGTGTACAGTGCCCGAAACGCTGTGAATATACCAATGGATATGAGGATAACAGGCCGAATTCTGTAAATAATGCGAGAGAAGAATCTGTTAGAATAGAATTGGATGTTTCATTTACCTCGTTTACAATTAAAACTGTCGGACCTATCTGCCAATTAAGTAGCACGCATAAATTCTTCCATTCACGGCACTAGAGAAAAAAGCTCATCATAGCAGTTGCTCTGAAAATATTTTGCAGAAAAGACGTAGGGATGCCACATCAGGTCGATGAGAATGTGACTGAAGTCGAGATGCTAGCTCATGACCGATATCTTATCAGACCCTACTTTGGATTTGGTACAAGATCTTGAGATATGTAGGAGGAGCACCAGACCAAATATAGCAGCAATATTCAGTGTGTGGTCGAAAGATAGACTTATAAATGTGCAAGATGTTTTCTGACCAGAAAAAAAATCCTGGCACAACCCTGAGCCGAGTTTACTAGCAATAGACGTCTTACAATTAACGTTTAGTCCTTTATCACTCTTTTACTTACTACCTTCTTTAACTCCTGCAGCTTTTCTCTGTCTCTATCAAAAGCCTATCTGATTTCGTAATTAAACATTCTGTCAAGATAACATATCACTAACGAAATATTTTCTCAATAACGGGCGATAGAATATAGGACATAGAACAAGGGAATTCCTCCTTTTCGTAATGAACAGCAGTTTTCTGATCCGATGCGCAGTGTTCGCAGATAAAACATTTTCCACGCCGAATCGTTGCATGTTTAAATTTGACAATACTCAATAGTTGTTTATATAAGTCGTTTAACTCCTGTCTATAATATGAGTTTGAGGAGAGAAGTGTAAGTTATGAGTAAATTAATTAACAAGTTAACATTCTAAATCCTTCTTTTATGTCCGAGGACTGTGTTGGCGAACGTGACTAGCGTATTTGGGGAGAGATAAATTGAAATGAACGTCAAATCGCAGTACGACGCCTTTTAGACCGTAGCTAAATCTGGCGAATTTGACGATACTCTTGGGATCAGTACCTTCGTAATTTCATCAGCGCTTCATGCATAAATTTGTACTCTCGGCGTTCCATCTCCTGCAGCCATGACCAGAAGTTATCAAATTGGATCAACTCAATACTTAGGCGCTATGAAAATATTTAGTAAATTATCTCAGTTTGGTTCTGCACCATGTCTTTTTCTGTAAAAATGGATAGCAACATTCTGGTTAAAAAATGCCAGACTCGAAAATCCAGCTTGAGAAACGAATGTTTTTTTGTTTTTATTTTATCCATCGTTGGTTATAACATCGATCATTGAATAGGAATAAGAAAGTATTTATTAAGCTGATGTTAGTTTAGCTCTGTCTACGTTATCAGGGACCGAAAGTCGATGGCTTGGGCAGGTGGGATAATATTCCACTATATTATCTGCAAACCATCTTCAGTCTTCACCATAATGTTGCCACAAATGATTGTGCTAATAGGTCATTTTTGTCCGCGAAATGGAAAAAAAAAAGCGGTCGGAACTTAATTCAACATAAACGTTGTACAAAACATCAAAGTAAGTAAATAAAAAAAAATAAAAATAAAAAAATTCGAATTTTTTTTATTCCGTCCTGAGCGCGGAGAAAACATAGATATTATTCGAGAATAAAATCGTGAATCATTGATAAAGTTCAGTGAACCTTTTTCTTTTTTTCTTTTTTTTTTTTTCAAATATCAATGGAAATAATATAGTTGTCTTATCCATCCAAAAACGGGAAAATTTCGTTAGAAAACAATACTGAACTGCTGTGTACTGTCACTTCTCTTGTATCAATGAATGCTGGTAAATTTCCATAGAGATGAAGACGAGATTGACAGATGTGGCGTTATACAAGAGTGCTGCGAATATTGTGGATGTAACATGTGAGAAAGGAAATTTTATTAGAAGGAAAAAGACATTTATACTAACATAAGAAACTTAAATCTCTAGGACACTTAACAAGTCGATATAGTTAGGGAATTTCAACAATCACAGGACATATTGAAGACAAAAGAAACTGAAAAACATCAATTAGCTAATCTACTGAGCGTGTGGAAATGGATGGCAGCACAGCGTTTGAGAGAGTAAGGGAGAAAATGTTGCTTAGCGTTCCAAATGATAGGAAATTATGGAGAGCCGTCATCACCTATTTCTTGAATTTAGACTGCACATATATGATGGAAATCTTGCGACGTTTACGCATTGTGATCATTTTGCAATTAACAGGATAATCTACGGTGATTAAAACTTAGATTTCATAATTAAGAAACTGTTTTACATGACGTTATGCAATTAATATAAATCTGATCAATAGCTAATGACACTTATTTCATAAATAGCTCCAGATTCTTCTCCAAAACTGACTTCGAGAAAACGCTTCCCTGACAACTACAATCTTGGTCTCTTTAAATCAAGGTTCAACCGATAACTATCCTACACGTCCTCATAATCTTATTTCTTTCTTTCCTCAGTAACCTTCTACCTTGGGTGGCCCTTAGGCCTTGCATTGGTTAACTCAAATAAAATAAAAGAACATTTAGGAGAAATGTAAATCCTTCCTCGATACATGAACAGGCATTACTATACGAAAATCTAAATTTAAATTTCGAGGGGAAATAATTATTTTGTCGTTGGTTTCAAAAGTTATTTTCCTATGACGAATAAATAGAATCTGAAAAACGCTGCATTGAACAATTGTCTTGTTTGCAAGATGCATTGGTGCAGAAGACAGTTTCTGGGCAAATAAGACGACTGAATCTTTTGTTGAGCGACTGCGCTCGTTTTTATTTTGAAAATACTTCACAAGAAAGACTCGTGTAATTGATATGCTAAATTCTTCCGGATCGTAATTTTCAGAACTCTCGTTTTCCGACTACTTCTGGTTAACGGTTCCAATGATGGCAGTGGATTGAAACGTTTCTCTCAAATTTCATCGAATCAAAATTGGACCATTTTTAGTATGGAATAAAGAAAATTCACATAAGGCCAGATTAGCAATTTTAATGATGGAAATCCATTTATTTTATTATAGGCAATTCACAGCATATAAAATAGCTACTTTGAAATAATCTGACGTAAGAAAATAAAGCGTTTTTATCAGTGGCATAAAACTGAGATATAACTGGGGAAAACGATCGATGTAGACAGTGAGAATAAATATAAGACAGAGAACCATATATGTAAGTTGAACAAACAGGCCCAACCAGTGGAAATGAATGTAAAATAGACCATTGGAAACTATTAATAAATATTTTGACTACACAGAACAATTCCTTCCTAGACAATTAAACATAAAATTTTCTGGAATGTTTAGATACGGTGAGAGCACATCATCGAGGCCAGAAATACGGTAGTTTACAATAAAAAAAAAAAGAAAAATATACATAAAATACAGTTATATAATAGAATATACTTTTAAGTTATGCTATATTTATGGGTTAAAGCGTTCAACATCAGGGGTAGAGCGTATGTAACTATAAAAGTGGACATTGAAGTCAAGACTCAGCGGCGAAGGCCTGTCATTCTTATATGAAATCATCAGTCCATATGCCTTGTTCTTTCTCGAATGTTCTATATGCAGGTCATTGCTGCATTATGGGTAGTCTCTTGTATTGTTCTAACGGTTATTTTGGTGGGTGATTATATTTCGAATTATACCAAGTAGTATTCGGTGGAAGTAACTGTCGAGTTGTGTGCTTTTCTTTAGCAATTTATACTGTTAACTTTTTTCATTATTCTTGATTATTTTGTTTGTTGTTACGTTTATTTTTGTGCGTTCGTAGTTTGTTTATTATTTATATCTTGGTTTCGATTAACTTATTTTTATTTTCTTTCTATGTTGCCTTTTTTCATTTTTTTTTCCTTTTTTCGCGTCTTTTTATCACTTTATGTTCCCTCCTTTTTCTCTGTTTTGCCTCCTTTTTCTCTTTGTTTTGCCTCCTTTTTCTCTTTGTTTTGCCTCCTTTTTCTCTTTGCCTCCTTTTTCTCTTTGCCTCCTTTTTCTCTTTGCCTCCTTTTTCTCTGTTTTGCCTTTTTTTTTCTCTGTTTTGCCTCCTTTTTTTCGTTGTTTTGCCTCCTTTTTTTTCTTTATTTTCTCTATTTTTTTTTTTGCCTCTATTTTTTTTCATTATTTTGCCTCTATTTTTTTTCATTATTTTGCCTCTTTTTTTTCTTTATTTTGCCTCTTTTTTTTCTTTATTTTGCTCTTTTTTCTTTTTTTTCTTTGCTTTTTTTTCTTTGCTTTTTTTCTTTGTTTTTTTTTTTTGTTTTTTCTTTTTTTTTCTTGTTTTTTTTTTTTTTTCTTTTTTCCTTTTTTTTTTTTCTTTTGCTTTTTTTCTTTGCTTTTTTTTTGCTTTTTTCTTTTTTTTTTTTTTCTTTTTTTTCTTTCCTTTTTTTTATTCTTTTTCCTTTTTTCTCTATTCTTTTGTCTTTTTTCTTTTTTTTCTTTTTTTTTCTATTCTTTTTGTCTCTTTTTTCTCTATTCTTTTGTCTCTTTTTTTTCTCTATTCTTTTTGTCTCTTTTTTTTCTCTATTCTTTTTGTCTCTTTTTTTTCTTTATTCTTTTGTCTCTTTTTTTCTCTTATTTTTTTGTCTTTTTTTTCATATTTTTTTGTCTCTTTTTTTCTATCATTTTTTGTCTCTTTTTTTTTCTATTCTTTTTGTCTCTTTTTTTTTTCTATTCTTTTTTGTCCTTTTTTCTCTATTCTTTTTTTTCTTTTTTTTCTCTATTTTTTGTCTCTTTTTTTTTTCTATTTTTTTTTCTTTTTTTTTCTCTATTCTTTTTCTTTTTTTATTTTGTCCTTTTTCTTTTCTTTTTCTTTTTTATTCTTTTTTTTTTTTTTTTCTCTATTCTTTTTGTTTTTTTTCTATTTTTTGTCTCTTTTTTTTCTATTCTTTTGTCTCTTTTTTTTCTCTATTCTTTTTTGTCTTTTTTTCTCTATTCTTTTTTGTCTCTTTTTTTCTTATTCTTTTTTCTTTTTTTTTTTTTCTTTTTCTTTTATTCTTTTGTCTCTTTTTTTTTTTCTATTCTTTTTTTCTCTTTTTTTTTTCTATTCTTTTGTCTCTTTTTTTTTTTTCTATTCTTTTTTGTCTTTTTTTTTTATTCTTTTTTCTCTTTTTTTTCTTTCTTTTTGTCTCTTTTTTTTTCTCTATTCTTTTTGTCTCTTTTTTTTCTCTATTCTTTTTGTCTCTTTTTTTTTCTCTATTCTTTTTGTCTCTTTTTTTTTCTCTATTCTTTTTGTCTCTTTTTTTTTCTCTATTCTTTTTGTCTCTTTTTTTTTCTCTATTCTTTTTGTCTCTTTTTTTTTCTCTATTCTTTTTTTTTCTTTTTCTTTTGTCTCTTTTTTTTTCTCTATTCTTTTTTTTTCTTTTTTTTCTCTTTTTTTTTTTTTTTATTCTTTTTGTTCTTTTTTTTTTTTATTCTTTTTTTCTTTTTATTTTTTTCTCTATTCTTTTTTTTTAATTAATTAATGTTCTTTAATTAATGTAGTAATTATTAGTTTTCGTGTCTGCATTTCGAGATGAATTCTGATTTGTGCTAACGTTCTGATCCACTCTTGACAGTCTCGTCTTTGAGCACTTTAATTTACGTCTCGTGTTTTCTTTCTTTCCTTGTTCGGGATTTTTCTTTAAGTTTTGTTTGCATTTTATCTGTTGTCAACTTTAATTATACATTATTACCCTTTTTGGAAAATTAACATAAAAATAAGTATAATAGTGGCATGTATAAAACAGCATTATTGAAGAACAGTTGGATAGTAATGTTGACGTATCGAGTAGACTCGTTTTACTTAATTTCTTGCAAGAACCACAACTTACTGTGTGGATATTCTATGAGTGAAAGTGATTTTCGTCTCAAAGATAAAAAACACTTCGCTGGTATTTTCTTAAAAATGAAGCAATCACAGCAAGGACAGATATAATTACTGTAAACAGGAAGCAAATTAGTCTATGATTGAATTTTTCTATTCTAACAATACGCAACATAAAAGAAAGAAAACGAAAGTGCAGGACTATTACCGGCACTTTACAAGATAAGTGGGCAAAATTGTGGAGCATGATGTAGACTGTTGTATTTGTCCTTATTATGGCCTTTGGCAATGGCCCAAAGTTCTATACACGGTTGAAATAACTTGTACCCTGAGGAAGAATCGTTACAAAGCAAACAAGATTTACTGAGAATAACTAAAACACTAACTACAGTATTTGGATAACTCCCTCGTCCGTAGAATCTCGGTGTTATTCATCATTTTCTACTTCTAAAATATAGTGTTCTTTTTTGGACGGTAGATCGTAGCTCTCTATAACATCCTCTCCTCTGTAGCTTTTAGTAATATTTGTGTTCTTACTGTCCCTCACTTTACTGGACCCCTGTGAAATTACGCAAGATCGAAGCAGGTTGCTTGCTTTATTTCTCCTTTGCTTTTCTTTTGATATGTCCTATGAATTTCTAATTCTCTTTCCGCATGTCAGCCTGACAAGCCGACTGTCATTTTCTGACTATGAGTAAAGATACAGTTTCCATTTCCCATAAAACTTCCTCGTTGCTTACATGCTCTGTCCGTGTTGTTATCAGTATTATATTGAAGCATGGCTCTTGAAATCTGTGGGAATTATCACAACGATATCGGATGAGTGATATTCCATAGCATGTTACCAATCGTTTTCAAAACTTAGTACTTCTAATTATGCAGACCACGTTGTTTCGGAGCTTGATACGTGTCCTGAAAAAGATGCTGGGGAGTTGTTTTCACTCAAGTTACAGCGATAATGATATCTGACACGAAAATGAAAAAACCGAAAGTATAATAAAATATGACGACTTTGCTGGCAATCTCTTTAGTTACTAGAGATAAACCAAGACTGAATACATTTTTGGATTAACATTATAATTTTGATTTCAATACTCAAAAAATAATGACGTCAGACAATGATAAATCAGACGTAAAGACAGAAATAAAGTATGCGAGATGGTAACGATATAAGAATACAATGCCATTGTTAAATATTTTCACTATTTTCTGTGTAAAAAAAAAAAAATCTACAAGCAGACATGATATCTTCACTATTTTTGTTTTATACACTTAATTTTTTTTTTTTTTTTGAAAACCAGTCAATGGAAGATTATTTCTACCGTCTGGAAAAAGTAGTCTCCCACTGTTTAAAGAAAGACATTTTTTTTTTTTTTTTTTTTTTTTTTTTCAGGCAAGTTCTATGAAAATATAATAGATGTTGACAGGGAATGGTTCACTACAATTATTTCAAGAAATAGGACGCGGTCTGAACCTAATTAAGTGTATCAGGTGTGTAAATACAAGAAGCCAAGCTATAGAAGTGTCAAGCTCGTCAGCAGCATGATTTAATGCTTGACAATAAAGTTGTCATACATTTTTTCAGTTCATATTATAATCATCACGGACAAGAAAAAGTGAACTACATTATTACAGTTACTTTAAACTAGAAACTTTTACTTAACATCAACTAGTTTTTTTTTTTCATTAGCTTCATCTTTAGAAATGAAGTGCTGCTTATTTTTTAGGTAGTTGGTATCAGGTTTTGACTAACACACACACTCATTTATATTTATTATTTTTATACATATATAATCTCCAGTAATACCGCATTTGTATAAGTTTCGTTAAAGATTACAAAGCACTGCAATTAAGGTTTCTATTTATATTTTAGTGTGTTCGGTCAAGTAGTTTCTATTCTTGACACCGTGTTTAAAAACTGTCCAAAAGTTTTGCATATCCAGGTTTTTTCGGCTATTGATTTTAACCATTATCAAGGACGACATTTAATTTTTATTTTTAACTGAATGTATAATTTTTTTTTGTGTATTCAGTCAACAGAATTTTTTCTTGATAATGCCTCAAAGAATATCCGAAAGCAGTAATTTCCCTTTTATAAAAAAATCAATAAAAAACTGAGAAGCTACTGCGGTTAAGTTATTTTTTTTCTTGTGGTTTTATAATTTTCTCTCCATAAATTATGTAGCAATTGTCCAAATTTTGTCCTTATCCTATGACAGACCAACTCAGTGATATGAGGTGGAAATAGCGCTACAATAATTCCTATTCAGCCGATTATTTTCAGTAAGTTGGTGATCAGTTAAACGTAAAAATAAAATCATTCTGGTCAATGGCTAAATGTATAGCCGAAATCATTTGAGAAAGTTCTGCATAATTTACGCCCAGAAAAGAAAATTATAAGAAAAATTAAAAGAACTACAATCGCTAGGGTCAGTCGTTTTTTTTATTTTTTTTAATTTTGCCAAAAATTCAAATTCAGTTCGTCTTTGCAATTTTGCAGATAATCATTGAGATCTCGAGTAATGGTCAACGAGCCAATGTTCCTTGCAAGGAGTTTCGGAAAGAATATATTGGAGAAACATTAAGAAGTTTAAGCAAAGATCTATATGAACTCAAACGAGGCATTAAAAAAAAATCAATCAAAATCCTTTAGTTGTTCACCGTAATGAAACTGACCACGATTATGCTACATTATATGAGAGAAAATTATTCACTAAGACGAAAATATCTGGAAATTGCTTTAATCGCTATTTCAGCAACGGTAAATCTACGTCCATGTTCTTCAAGCGTTTCACAACGCTTGGCAGACGTTCAGTTAGCACAATCTGTGATATTTAAAATCAAAAGTGATGGAATGAAAAAGGATATAGATGAATATGGCTAGATTGTAAAACATTCTTTCAAAAATCTTGACACTGCCAGCATCTCTCGTTCATGCGCGTGTGTAGTCACAACAACGTCAACAAACCCATTACGATGAGGTACTAAAAGATGAAACCCAACACAAACTTTTTCCATTTTGTCTTACAATTTCCTAAGTATTCATGATATATAAAAATATATATCTATCTCTCTCTATCTATCTCTATATCTCTATCTATCCATCTATCTATCATCCATCCCCATCTATCCATCCCCATCCATCCATCTATCCATCCATCCATCTATCCATCTATCTATCTCCCCCATCCATCTATCTATCTCTCCCCATCTCCCATCCATCCCCATCTATCCATCCATCTCTATCCATCCATCCTCCCCATCCATATCCCATCCATCTCCATCCATCCATCATCCATCCCCATCTATCATCTATCTCCATCCATCTCCATCTATCCCATCTCTATCCCCCCATCCATCTCATCCCTATCTCATATCCCCATCCCCATCCATCTCCATCCCTCCATCCATCCCTATCCATCCCCATCCATCTCCCCATCCCCATCCATCCCATCCCATCCCCATCCATCCCCATCTCTATCCCCATCCCCATCCATCTCTATCCCCATCCCCATCCCCACATCCCCATCCCATCCATATCCCCATCCCATCATCCCATATCCCATCCATCCATCCCCATCCCCATCCATCTATCATCCCCATCCCCATCCATCCCCATATCCCCATCCCATCCCCATATCATCTATCACATCTATCATCCCCACATCCATCCCATCCCCATCCATCCCCATATCTCCATCCATCCCCATCCACATCTCCCCATCTATCCCCATCCATCCCCACATATCCATCTCTATATCCCCATCCATCCATCCATCTCATATCTATCTCCATCTATCTATCTCCCATCTCATCCATCTCCATATCTCTATCTCTATCTCTATCTATCTCTATATCTCTATCTCTATCTATCTCTATATCTCTATCTCTATCTATCTCTATATCTCTATCTCTATCTCTATCTATCTCTATATCTCTATCTCTATCTCTATCTATCTCTATCTATCTCTATATCTCTATCTATATATATATATATATATAAACAAAATTTTGCACATTTATTTTTATTTATCTTTCCCCTAGGTCTTATATTTTCTAAACCTGTTTATTGAAACATAGGTTTTATTAGATTTTCATATTTTTCTAACACTAACTTTTTATATTTTTTTGATTTCACCCACCTCACTTTATTAAACCTCTCTTTATTTGACACTCTAAATTCGTTCAAATAAAATGAATTGTGTTCTTCAAAGACGCCAAATTCCTCTGAATAGAGGTCACTGCGATGGAAAAAACTTTCTTTTTTCATGTTTTTAATATATATATTTATACCGTTTGAAAGCCTGGAATTCACGAAACCCACAATTAGGCTTTTATTTAAAAGAAAAACATGGAAACTTCAAAGACTATATGACAGTTTGGCTGAAATTCTCCTTATTTTCAGGGATCTATTCCTGTGTCCCACAGTAATTTAACATTCCCATGTTTTGCCTTTGTATAATGAAGGTATACAGGATATGGCTCATGTAAGTACTCTTTTACATAATAAATTTAAGCAAATTATAACAGATACGTATGTTGAGATAAAAATGACAGTCCTGACTGATATAGACATACTTTTAAAACTCCAATTTTAATTTATATAATTATGTGTTTAATATATATACTCTCTCTCATTTGCCAACTGATATACG